GAATAGTACCGTATCCGTGAATAGTACCGTACCCGTGAATAGTACCGTACCCGTGAATAGTACCGTATCCGTGAATAGTACCGTACAAGTGAATAGTACCGTACACGTGAATAGTGTCGTACGCGTGAATAGTGCCCAATGCCTTAAAAGAGTAAATATTAATCTAACTTATTTTCTGATGTGGAGGATCCACTTTTAGTGGCAGCCACAGAGCATACGATAAGCAGATATATATACTCTAAGTCAGGCTCTGATACCAGTTGTTAGGATTCACCCCAATAATAACGCCTCGAACGGAGACTTAATCACAAAATAAAGGCACAAAATTCAACACAGAGTACTCACAGATATACGTGGTTCACTCCTTCGGAGCTACTCCACGGTGCAACGACGACGCCAAATTCTTTAATATCCCAAAAGAATTGATCCAAGAGAACACCCTCTCTTGATCAGATACACTCCAAGAACTCTCACAAACTCTCTCTTTGTTTTCTCTTACTCTTCTATAAGAGGAGTTGTTTCTGGGATGAGATTTCCTTAAGAGTTTAGGGCCCTATTTATAGTGTTTGAGAAAACACTATGCACAAATATAATATTATCTGTGGGACCCGCCACTAATAATAAAATATTTGTGGGACCCACATTCTTTATAAATTCTCAACAATGGCTGCCACCGAATTTGATTTTTCTTCTTGTGGGGCCCGCCTTTGTGGGCCCCACTTTTGTTTTCATGTTGGCTGGGTCAAAAAGGTTGGGCGCCTGACAGAAATGAGACTCTAAAACGATCTGAACTACATAGAGATGCGCAAACAGTTTATTACCTGCATTGGCAAAATGCAACAATGACCTTAGCAAATTGATGTGGTTATGTTGTAGTTCTTGATAACACCTATCGATCGTTAAAATTACAATATTATCTCCCATGCATCTTTCTAAATCGAAGATAAGAAACGAGACAAAGAAGCTAATTAATTTATTAAGCTTTCACAATGTCACAGAAGAATATCTAAAGTGCTGGAATTGAGATTATTGTTTGCTTATGCATTCACTTTGATGATTGTTTAGTGTCCAGACTGGACGAGACTCAATACCATCTGTTCTTCACCTCGATTTGGGGGGGAGTGTTGTGAACAGTTGTGTGTGAGTGTGAGTGTGAGTCTGAAGGTGGTTGGGAGGGACTACGGGGAATTGATAGGTTTGGATAGGCAGGGGTAATATTGTCCACTCAAGTATTATTTGATGGAATTTTTAATGGAGAGTTAAAAAAAAGACCAACTTTACCTCTAAAAAGTAGTACACGGACTAAATTGAGAAAAAATAAAGTGCGAGCACTACTTTTGTATAAGGCCGTGGTTCGGGGACCAAATTGGGCTTTTGCCCAAAGGATATAGTCTCAAGTCTTTGGAACTCTTATCAAAATAAGTTATACCGATATAGCACATATTACATTGAAATAGTAAGTTACATAGAGCTTAGGCATATCATATTGTAATATGTAGAGCTATGATTCTTCTTGAGTTATTTCACAAAGTTATGTAACATTTAAGACCTATTCGGTTACAAAGGCAACATAACAAGTTATGTAAGAAGTTTTTTCCAACAATGATCACAATGAAACGAAAAGGTTGAAATACACGAATATTCCAAATCAAAGTATTTTGGAAAATCCTCCCTCCCTCTCCACTTCTTCATTTCTGAGTCTAGTTCTTCACTCAAGAAAAAGATGCTCAACCTGTACAGGCATGTTAGATATAAAATAATAACCCTCAATTCTTATGTAACTATGGAGTCTTGGTGTAGTGGAAAAGTCCTTTAACAACCCTTTAAGAAAGTTAAAGAAAAAAACAGAAAGGAACATGAGGAAACATTTCTTAGTCTTCCTTTGCTACTCTCCCTTTACATTGTGCTTATACTTGCATCTATAATTGTGCGATTCCCTGGACCCCCTCAAATCGTTGTACAGTTCCTACGAATCAATTCTTTGTACATTTGCGAACCGATTCACTCAAATACACGAACCGATTCCTCAAATTTGGCGTACAACTTACAAGTATGTTAGATGCAAAGTCTTTTTAAGTGCATGTGCACAAGACGCAATGCAATGTGTGCAATTAAGTGAAGAGAGACACACAATAGAGTATATGAGCCGATGACTTCACTGTAAGTGAACACGTGAGTTAATTAAATGTAAAACGAAACCATAACCCTAAAACAAGCTCTATGGGAAAAAAAAAACAAAACAAAGAAATAAACTTCATCAAAACGAAGTATCTAAGTATTTTGTACGAAAAAATATTAAATTTCACAATTAGCTTTCTAGTTTTCTACTATATACTTTAAAAAACTTTAAGCACACACAAAAAGAATTTACAACGTACCACTAACCGAACTTGAGTACCGAAGCAAGCTACCCCCTAGCGAATTCAAATTTTCTAGTGGCGATTTGCGTACCCGAATTCATACCGTGACTCGCTACGTACCGCGTACTGTGTAACTATGTTGCATCTATCACTTAGTTGTTTCTTGTCTATATTTGTTTGTTATTTATTGTTAATTAAGAACTTTGAAAATTGTTGAAAAAAGCGCTCTAGGCATCTGCTTGAGGCAGTACTCAGACCGCCCAATTTAGCCTTGGGCGTGGGGCATCCAAGAGGGAATGCAGTACCTAGACCAGCCGCACCGCGCCAAAAAATGAGCATACAAACCTGCTTAAGCACAACAACACCCGAAGAAAATGGATCAATTCAAAACCCGATAATATAAGTCCAAATTAGATTACCAAGGTTATGGTTTTGAATATTTGGAAATTTTTCTTTATCCTTTCTCTTTGCAACTACCCGAGTCAATACTGAGAGTTGTAAGAAGGACATTTGTCTTTAATTATTATTATCGTTTTATATGCGATAATGTTAATTGTTCATCTCTTTCATGATGTACTCCCTCACACTATTCCTTTCTTCGTTATTATCATTTTCTTTCCTTCTTTCTTTCTTTTCTTCTTCTTCTCCTGGGAGGCACAGAGGCGGATACAATCTCCTTAAAAAGTAAGGGGGGAAAACAACAGTTGGCCTGGCACCTAGAAGCGCACGACGCTTTCTAAAATATTGCTCTAGAATAAGCATAAACTCCATAAAGGGCTGTTTGTTTGCATAAGGGGAAAGGGGAAAGTCTGTAAAAAGTGTCGGTTTTGACAGGCTTTCTTGCAAAAACGTCTCTTCTTTAGAGCATCTCCAACAGCTTCCCCATCTTCTTGAAATACTCAATTTTAGGGAATATAGAGCTTTTTTTTGTCCAACAGATTCCCCATCTCATTCCCCAAAATAGGGAAGAATGAGAAAAAATAGGGAGTCTTCCCCAAATCTGCAGCATTCTCCAAATTTTTGGGGAGAGCTTTATTATTGTAATAAATGTAATTTTTCAAAATGAGGAAGCTGTTGGAGTTGGAGCAAAAATAATTTGGAGAATATGACTTTTGTTTCTCCATTTTGGAGAAAATTTTGGAGAAGCTGTTGGAAATGCTCTTAGAGGCGTTTCTGCAAGAAAGTCTGTCAAAACTGACACTTTTGGGTAAAAGACGTTTTTGTAAGAAAATCTGTCAAAACTGACACTTTTGACAGGCTTTCAACCCAGTTCCCCCTCTAAAAGAGGGAACCAAACGCGCCCTAACTCTCTCGTCTTCGCTTCCAAATGTTGCACAGGAAAGTGCCATCCAAATGGGAGGCGTTTGAAGGTACGAACCATTCGAGGATACTTGTCTTGATCAACAACCCTAGTGTTCTCTAGCTTAATGTTGAGGTATTGATCGACTGAATGGAGAATACCTCCGATTGCGAGATCGTTCTTCAGCTCCACCGTCACTTCTTTGCCCACCAATTCCTTGAAATACGAGAAGAACAACTGCCAAATTTAAATGGACAACAAAAATTACATAAAAATTAGATTGAAAGTAGAAACTAGATGCTGATTTAATCAATAAACCCTAATAAAAAGATTAAGGAAAAGAGAAAAAAGGTACCATCTTTGATTTACTGTTCTTCGAGAGGAAGAGTTCCCGCTTCGAGTTGGGACAGCAGCGTATTTTTGGACTGCGCGGGTCTGATTGGTAACGGGTCGGGTTATCGCTTAACTAGGATCCGATAAGATGCAGTCCCACAGTTGTCGTCGTTCTGAAACCCAGCAAAGATTTGTATGCCGATCTATTATTCCAAAAATAGAAGACATATGATTTCCCTATTGGATTACATTCTGATTTTTTTTTCAGTTTTGATATAGAATATAAAATCATATCCCCCATAGACCACAAATTTAAGATGGTACCAAAACATTCTAGATTTCAATGCCACTAACCATAAATTTAAGATGGTACCAAAACACTCTAGATTCGAATGCCACTAACCACAAATTTAATGCGGATTTTTAAAAGATCGACACTGCTACCTAAGTGCAAATTTCAACCCATAGACACTCACCCTGCGGGAACAAGTTAGAACATAGAAGAATAGAACAAATTTTCAAAATAGCCTCAAACTAGTTTTTTTATTTTTCAAAACCAACCCGCCTTTTTTTTAACCAAAATCGACCAACTTTTTACCACGTTAGCTTAATCCCATTCGGGGTTGACAACCCCGACTGTTTAGGAGGTTGTTAAACCCTAATTAGAAGCCTTAAACCCGATTTTTTATTCCCTAAATAATCTAGGTTGACAACCTCCACTAATTAGGAAATAAGATTAAGGAAATAAGATAAAGCTGACGTAACAAAAATTGGGTCGATTTTGGTTAAAAAAAAACAGGTCGGTTTTGAAAATTAAAAACAGGTTTGAGGCTGTTTTGAAATTTTGTTCTAGAAGAATATCTTGTTTCCGCACACCGCATTAACCAAACTGGACCTATATGAAAGTTCTCTCTCAAGAATTGCAACTGCAAGTTGGCAGTTTACCCAAGTAATAACAACAATGTAAGGCCAGCATACATCACTTATTGCCAAATCACACATAAGTTAACCCCGAGAATGCTTATTTTTTAACTTCGCCGTCAATTTCATACTATAACACTAACCAACAGCCCATGGATAAGTCCACAATTCCTAGAAATATTGCACGACAAAACCAATCACAAATGTAACTACAAAACTCAAAGCAACACTTCGAAATAACTTACAACATGCTGATAACTCATCAGAAACCCAAGAATGAGCAGATTTACACAAGTAAATGAAAGAAAATAGTTTTTTCCCCATGCTATATAATCCGGGGCTTTACCCGTCTACCATTAAGATCACAGCCATCAATTTCTTCAAACACACAGGCGCCAGTACTGACTGAATATTCTCCCGCTTTTGCCACATACTGCAAGAGCTCTGTCAGTATTGAGGGGCAACTGACCTTCAAATGCTCAAATCCTTCAGTTTGCATCACAGCTGCAAGACAAATCAGCAAACGTTATATTCAGAATCGGAACTTACGATATATATTGTGTTTGAACGAATAATCTCAAGAAACCATTCAAGAAGCATCAGATAATAAGAAATCAAAAACCAAGGAAGAAAAAATGGGAATGATCACGAAATGGTAAGTACCGTAGCTTGACATCAGAAAATAACAGATAGATGTATGTCGCATAAAGCCAACGTATTAATGAGGCCCTCAAATGTCAATACAAGAGCATGAATAATAATGCATCTCTATTGAAACGTAAGCACAACAACTATAAACTAAAATTAGTTTTCTAAACTTGTGAGAAAAGGAATTTTTACGGGAAGACTTAAAAAATAGAAACGTATAAGAAAATGATACAGTAACTCAAATATTGCACGTGAATTAATAAAACAGGTTGGGATTGCATGTTAATATATTACAAGAGCAATCTAATCTGCTTAGTTAAGGGTAAACTACACGTAAATTTTCCTAATATCACAACTTAACAAATCTGAAGTAAAAGACAGGATCATTACCTTTGAGATTTTCAGGCAAAGCTATAAATCTGAGACAAACAGTCTTAAGCTGAAAACAATGATGTTGTTCAGCCAAAGCTAAAGTAGTTGCCACTGTGTTAATAGAGACATCCTCACACAGCTTTTCCTCACAGAGTAATTTCAGTCTCTCCAGTGCATATCTGTCTGCACCTGCAAGCAGATGCTGCGACATCAACGTCAAAGCCACACCTGTAAGGTCTTCCATCTCAGGCAGACAATCCCAGTATATGAAATGGAGTAGAGCCTGCAAAAATAAATGAACAGCAGATTTAGCTTCAACAATTGATTGGAATTAGACAAGTTCGTGACAGTTGTTATGCATCAAAGGAGTTGGTCACATAGGTCAAAATCTCTGAGAAAATATAATCTATCGTAAAAAGGTGGCTCTCTCCTGCTTTGCATTATTAACTGAAGAAATACAGCACAAGATTGATAAAGATCAAG